AGACTTCAAGAAAGATATTGACAGCAACACAATTAGAGTAGGGGATTTCAATACCTCACTTTCAAAAATGGATAAGTCTTCCAAACAAAATATCAATAAAGATATTGTGGCACTGAACAATGTCCTAGATCATATGAACTTAACTGATATATATGAACCTTTTATCCCAAAGAAGAAGAATACACATTTCTTTCAAATTTATATGGAACATTTTCAAAGACAGACCACGTGATAGGACACAAAACAAGCCTCAACAAATTGAAGAAAATTGAAATCATATCAAGCATTTTCTCTGACCACAAGGGAGTGAAAGTAGAAGCCAACCTCAAGGAAAAAACTCAAAAACATTCAAATTCATGGAGATTGAAGCATGCTATTAAACAATGAATGGATCAAGAATGAGATCAAGGAAGAAATCAAAAAGTTTCTGGAAACAAATGACAATGAACTTACAACAATCCAAAACTTATGGGACACAGTAAAGGCAGTCCTGAGAGGGAAGTTCACAGTGATACAGGCCTACATAAAAAAAATAGAAACATGTCAAATAAACAACCTAACCCTACACCTACAAGAGCTGGAGGAACAATAACAAAGACAGCCCAGAGCAAGTAGAAGGAAGGAAATAAGCAAGATCAGAGCAGAATTAAAGAACATAGAGACTAAAAGCACAGTTCTAAGGATCAATAAATCCAGGAGCTGGTTCTTTGAAAAGATAAACAAAATCGACAAGCCTTTAAGCAGACTCATCAAAAAAAAAAAAGAGAGAGGACCCAAGCAAACACAATGTGAAATGAAAGAGGAGAGATTACAACTGATACCACAGAAATACAAAGGATTGTAAGAAATTACTATGAAGAACTATATGCCAAGAAATTTGAAAACCTAGGTGAAATGGACAAATTTCTAGAAAAATATAATCTTCCAAAACTCAAGGAAGAAGTACAGAAGTACAGAAAGCCTGAACAGACCAATAACAAGTGATGAAATTGAAGCAGTAATCAAAAAACTCCTGACACACAAAAGCCCTGGACTGGACAGTTTTTCAGGAGAATTCTACAAAGCAATTAAGGAAGAGCTAACCCCTGTCCTCCACCGACTATTCCAAAAAATCAAGAAGATGGAAGACTCCCAAACTCCTTTCATGAAGCCAGCATCATCCTAATCCCAAAACCAGATAAAGGCACTACAAAGAAAGAAAACTTCAGGCCAATACTGCTGGTGAACATAGATGCTAAAATCCTCAACAAAATATTGGCAAACCACATCCAGCAATACGTTAAAAAGTTAATACACCATGACCAAGTGGAATTCATCCCAGGGATGCAAGGATGGTACAATGTTTGCAAATCAATAAACCTAATACATCACATGTACAAAAACAAAGACAAAAATAATGTGATCATGTCCATAGATGTGGAAAAAGCAATTGATAAGGTACAGCACCCATTTATCATAAAAACACTCAGAAAAGTGAGAATAGAGGGAGCATTCCTCAACATAATAAAGGCCATGTATGAGAGACCTACAGTCAACATCAGACTCAATGGGAAAAAACTAAAAGCTTTCCCACCAAAATCAGGAACAAGAGAAGGTTGTCCACTTTCCCCACTCCTATTCAACACAGTATTGGAAGTCCTAGCCACAGCATTCAGACAAGAGGAGGAAAAAAAAGGCATCCAAATTGGAAGAAGAAACAAAACTGTCATTGTTTGCAGATGACATGATAGTGTACATAGAAAATCCTATAGACTCCACCAAAAATCTGCTCGACCTAATAAATGAATTTGGCAGGACAGTGGGATACAAAGTCAGTATTCAGAAATCAAAGGCATTTTGTATACCAACAATGAAACATCAGAAACAGAATCAGGAAAAAAATTCCATTTGCTATAGCAACAAGAAAAACAAAATACCTAGGAATAAACCTAACCAAGGAGGTAAAGGACCTGTACTCAGAAAACTACAGAACACTGAAGAAAGAAATCAAGGAAGACACAAACAAATGGAAGCATGTGCCATGTTCATGGATTAGAAGAATTAACATCATCAAAATATCCATACTACACAAACTAATTTATAGATTCAATGCAATACTTATTAAAGTATGAATGACATATTTCACAGATAAAGAACAAACATTTCAGAAGTTTATATGGAATTATAAACAATCCCAAATAGCTGCAGCAATTTTGAGAAAGAAGTGTAAAGTAAGAGGGATCACAATACCTGATATCAAACTGTATTACAAGGCCAATGTAATCAAAACAGCCTGGTACTGGCATAAGAACAGACACACAGACCAATAGAACAGAACAGAGAGCCCAGAAATAAACCCAAGTCTCTACAGTGAATTAATATTCAACAAAGGAGGCAGCAGCATAAAATGTAGTAAAAATAGCCTCTTCAACAAATGGTGTGAGACCTGGACAGCTATATGCAAAAAAATGAAACTTGACCACCAACTTACACCACACACAAAAATAAATTCAAAGTGGACAAAAGATTTAAATATAAGTTGTGACACCAGTAAAGTCCTGGAGGAGAACATAGGAAGCAAAATCTCAGATATTTCACGCAGCAATATTTTCACTGATTTGTCTCCTAGAGCAAGGGACATGAAGGAAAGAATAAACAAATGGGACCTCATCAAAATAAAAAGTTTCTGCACAGCTAAAGAAAACAGCATTAAAATGAAAAGAGAACCACCTATATGGGAAAACATATTTGCCAATGATACTTCAGACAAGGTTTTGATCTCCAAAATATATAAAGAACTCACACAACTCCACTCCAGGAAGGCAAAAAGCCCAATTAAAAATGGGCAAGAGACTTGAACAGACACTTATCCAAGGAGGACATACAAAGAGCTCAGAGACATATGAAAAGATGCTCAGCATTGCTAGACATCAAAGAGATGCAAATTAAAACCACAATGAGATACCACTTCACACTGGTCTGAATGGTCATCATAAATAAATAAACAAACAAGTGTTGGAGAGATTGTGGAGAAAAGGGAACCCTAGTGCACTGTTGGTGGAAAGGCAGATTGGTGCAGCCACTGTGGAAAACAGTATGGAATTTCCTCAGAAAACTAAAAATGGAACTGCCTTTGACCCAGCAATTCCATTGCTAGGATTATATCCTAAGAGCCCTAAAACATCAGTCCAAGAGAACCTATGCACCCCAATGTTCTAGCAGCACAATTTACAATAGCCAAGTGCTGGAAGCAACCTAAGCGCCCATGAATAAATGAGTGAATCAAAAAACTATGGTACATTTACACAATGGAATTCTACACAGCAGAGAGAAAGAAGGAGCCCCTACCCTTTGCAACAGCATGGATGGATCTGGAGAGCATTATGCTAAGTGAAATAAGCCAGATGGTGAGAGACAAATACCACATGATCTCACTTTTAACTGGAACCTAATCAACAAAAGAATAAAGCAAACAATATATAATCAGAGACATAGAAATTAAGAACAATCTAACAATAGCAAGGGTGGAGGGGGAAGGGGACAGTGGAGTGAAGGGTTTTCAGGAACTACTATAAAGGACACATGGACAAAACCAATGGGGAGGGTGGACGCAAGGGATGGAGGTGGGTTTGGCTGTGGTTCCTTGAAGTGGTGGAGGGAAAATGCAGACAACTGTACTTGAACAACAATAAAGTAATTAAAAAAATAAAATCCTTCTTTTATTCAGGCAATTATTTTTTAATTTTTAATTTAAAATTTTTTTTGGACACAATACTAACCAAGGTAATAAGGATTGTAGCAAAGGAATTATTTTGTTAGATAATTCCCATAGTCTTGTCAAATTACTCCTAGTTCCTTTTATAGTCCGTTTGTCTATTTTGTTTCAAAAAGCATGCTTTTGAATGTAAATGTAAGTTTCTCATTGTATTCAAAGTGGAGTTTCTACAATAAGTGTGAAGACTGCCATGTTTTAATACTATCTTTTGCAGCTCTATGTGCCAAATTGTTGCCTTTAGAACATTTGTTTCTCTATGCTGTGTGAACTCTATAATGAATTACTGATATCTTAACAGGTGATTCTAAAGTGTCTAAGAGCAGCTACAAATTTTTCATGAGATATTTTAATTCTGTTTTAGTAGAACACCCTAAATTGTTTTTGAAAGTGGGGAAGGGAGGATGAAAAAGGGGAAGAGAAACATCGATGTGAGAGAGAAACATCATTGGTTGCTTCTGGACTTGTCCCAACCTGGGACAGAACCGGCAGCCCAGGCACGGGCCCTGGCTGGGATTTGAACCAAAGATCTTTCCCTTTGCGGGTTGATGCCCAATCAATTGAGACACACCAGTCAGGGTGAAACCCTCTATTTCAGGGGTCCCCAACTTTTTGGCACCAGGCACTGGTTTTTTGGAAGACAATTTTTCTACGGATGGGGCAGAGGCCCGAGTGGGGGCAAGGTGGGAGAGGGGAGCAAAGGAAGGAGACAGGAGGCAGAGCTCAGGTGGTAATGCTACCCAAGATTCGCTCCCTAGCCGCTCCCTGCTGCTGGGCTGCCTGGTTCCTAACAGGCCACAGACAGGTACCTTCCCCTGCCTCCGGGAAGGGGATCCCTGGGGATCCCTGTTTTATTTAAAAAACTTTTCTCTGTGGCATGACAGACAGCAAAGAGACATCATATTTATAGAATTGCTACACACACACACATATTCATATTACTGCAAAGTAGGAAAGTAGAAAAAAGATAATAAAATTCAAGTTTATTTAGCATTTATAAATGTAATCATTTTAAATTAAAATTTAAATTGATGATGATAATAAATGCTAATGACTTAGACCCCTTGATTTTTTTGTCATACATCCTGCAGTTAAAGAAAAATTGCAATAAACTTCTATATGTACATAAATTTTGAGACTGCAGGATATAATCTGTTTATGAAAAAGTACATTGAAAAAATTATGGCTTTTGACTCTTAAACATTTTAAATTTCTAATAATTACTTTGTCTCTGAAAACTTTGTTGTAGGTCACTTATGCTATCAAAATTGATGGAAAAACATACACTCTTCATCTTGAAAAACAGTAAGTGGCCATTTTTTCCATACAGCTTTTGGTTTCTTAAATTTGTACAGTCACTACCCTATATTGAGACTAAACAAAGTGTGACTATTACGTTTATTTAACATGTTATATCCTCTTTGTGATTCATGTCAGACTGGAATTTCTGTCTTCATCTTGAGATTTGAAATCTAATGTTTAAGCCAAATTTTAATTTAATGATGTAAATATTAAGGTATGTTAGGCAGATAAAAATTACTCTGTGTAACTCCTTAATATAACCACAATTGGAACAATTAAAGGAATAATTTTATTTGTCCATGTTTAGCTTTGTCTGTCTTCATCTTATTTCATATACTGGTGTGATTTTAAGCATATTACTTGATATGCAACAATAATTTTTTCTCATTGTGCCATGGTAGTATTTTTAATGTCTTAAATATTCTGTTTTCTATCTTACTCTAGAAAATCAATATTAATGACTTTGTGTGTCTATTTTCCCAAATTTGTATTAAAATTTTGTATTTACCTTAAATAAAACCAGCAAAATTTGTGTTTTTACAAAAATGGAAGTAGAGTATTGCAAATGACAGATCATATTAAATAATGGTGCTTTTTCTCGCTGTATGTGCATATTGTAACTCATTCTTTAATAGATAGCATTGCATAGTATGTAATAGTGCTAGGTAATGAGGTTATTTCCAGAGGTTATCACTATTAAGTCCTGAAAACACATTGTTGTATGTATATTTTTATATAATACAGATTTTGTTTTGCAGCTTTGATACTCAAGAAATAGCTTTCTGGATCAAGAAGTATGAATACTAATGATAATATTGAAAATAATAACAAAACAGTTAAAGTAACTAACATTTATTGAACACACACCATTTGCTGGGCATATTTCTAAGCAATTTGCATGTAGTGACTGATATAATTGTCACAGACACCTCTAAGATAGGCACTCTTTATTACTCACATTTTATAGTATATGAAGTTTTTGAGAGACATTGCCAGTGTCTTTCCAAAAAGGTGGTAGAAATTTAGATTTCCAAAGTCTGTGTGATATACTAAAATATTCAATCTCATCTCAGCATCAGTTTGTATTTTCCTAAAAATTAAACATTTATTGGCTATTTGCATTTACCTGAATAAGGCTTACCTATTCATATAGTTTTCTCATTACTGTTTTAATATTCTTTATTTTGTAGAGCAGTTTTAGGTTTACAGCAAAATTGACTGGATGTACAGAGGTTTCCCATATGCTTCCTACCTCACATATGTAGAGCCTCCCATTATGAACATCCCCCATCAAAATGATAGGTTGTTATAATTGTTTATCCCAAATTGACATATCATTATCACCCAAAGTCCATAGTTTATATTAGTGCAATATTTTTATACTGGCTTTTTCTTTTGAATGATATAAAATAAAATGGATAATTGTGAGAATAATTTAAACAACTGGTGACATACATATAAGCATTGTGCCTACACTATTTTAAAAGAAGTGTACATGGCTGATATAGTGAAATCTGTTATTCCCATACCCAGACCTATTCATTTCTCTCAATGCCTAGTGCTAATCACAGTTATGATATTGACACATACTGTTATGTCATTTTTTTCTTCATTCATCTATGTGCCCAGAGATGAATAATAATGTTTTGAGTATTGGTTTATAGATGTAAAGACTCAATACTGTATATTCCATCATACAATTTATTTATCATGATATGGTAGAACACAAAAGTGACCCCAATTCTTTACCTTTCCTTGTGTTTTCATTCTTTGTCATACTGGGGGGGACCCCAAAAATCCTGAATTTATAAAAAATGGTGTATTTATTCATACATGTTTAAACTTCAGTCACCTTCAAAGTACTCTCCATTTGATGCAATACACTTATGGAGACTCATTTTCACTGCTCAAATCAGTTTTTGAACTTACCAGTTTTGATACCTTTTAGTGCTTCTGCCATTTTTTGTTTCATCTCCTCCACAATGGCATGTTCCCTTGAGGACTTTTTTCATCAGGGGAAACAAAAACAAAGTCCCCCAGGGTGAGACTGGGTGAATAGGGAGGGTGGGTAAGAGGTGTCAGGCCATTAAGACAATGAAAAGATGGGCTGTTTTTACCATAGCTTCACTTCATGAAAAGTAACAATAAAAGCATATATCTTTTTTGTCTTTGTCAGTCAGTGGGTACTTGTTAGCAAATATTAAGTAACATATTTATGCTATTAAATTTACTGATAGTTAAATCTAAAAGAAAACTTTGTTGTGGGGATTTGAAAGCTGTTTTTTACTACAGCTAAAGCTGTGTCATTACAGCATCCATCTAGTATCTGGTTGTACTGGTTATCATTTTTTCTTATATACACAATACGCTATTGGAAAGCAAGTTAAATAATGGAGAGATGAACCCATTTAATTCTTGGATATTTGAGCTTGTATAATTGAAAGTAAATTTTATTTATTTTCATGATTCTGTAACTTACTTTCATTAATGAAATTATTATAATGAAGTGTCATTATCTTGGTTGAATTAGGTCATTTTTAGACCCTCATTTCCTGGTATATTCATACAACAAATCAGGAACATTGTATCCAGATTCTTCATTTACAAAGGTAAGTTTTTCTTTATGTAGCTTATATTTTTATGTCATCGAGGTGTCATTGGTGGGAAAAAAAGAATGTTTTGTACTGCACAGAATTATTGGGCAAACAGATCACAAATACAAATATAATGTGGCAATGATAATGAAATCATCTTCAATAGAATACGTACTTTTCTTTTAATCCTTACCTGAGGATGTTTATTGATTTTTGAGAGAGAGAGAGAATTGATCAGTTGCCTCCTGTATGGCCCCTGACCGAGGATCGAACCTACAACCTTTTGGTGCATGGGATGATGCTCCAACTGAACCATCTGGCCAGAGCTAGAAAAATTACTTTTTAAATTTAAAATTCAGGAGTCACTTATCAAAAAGATCATTTAAACTACCTAGATGTATTAGTAGGAATTTGACAGGAAACGAAAACAAAATGTGTGAAGGAGCTAAAAAGTCCTAAACACATTGAATAGTATAAATCGATGTATCATAGTTACTGAGTGGTGGAGGCAATGGTGCCAGTTATAGAATGACCACTGGGAATGTGAAGACACAAAAGTATATTGGGTACAGAAACTGAATATGTTTACATGTGAAACGTAGAAACAGAAGAAACAAGAAGGTCACCTTACTTTACTGAAAGCAGGGTGACCTTCCTGTTTCTTGTGTTTCCTTGCATGGAAGGAACCTTCCCTGTACCAGAAGGAAGAGAGACATCCTTACACATCCTTGGAGAAGGATGGGAGGGGGAGAATTTAAGACCAAGAAGGTGCATGAATAAACCTTGTTACTTCTCTACCTTTTAGTACCCATGGTCCAAACCTTTTTGTCTTGTCAGTTCTTCACATGTTTATTGTTTCTTTTTCTAAAAGATATGAAAGCTTGCTGCTCTGGTCACTTCTTAGGGTCTTCATTCTCTTGTGAAGGCCCTCATGTACATGAAAAAATTCAATAAAGTTTATATGCTTTTCTCCTGTTAAAAAAATAAAATAAACACAGGTAGGAGTCAATAAATTTTTCAAAGTATGTGAGAAAGTTAGCTTTAGTCTGTGTGATTCTTATTTTGCCAGAACATATGATTTGGAAGAAACAAATGTTTGACAGGTGATTGGTGGATTCTATTTCTTTATTACTATTGAGAGATTACAAATATGGTAAGTGATACAGCATCTGTTGTACTCACCGTCTACAAGTAGGAAGCATAACAAAATATTGTACATGAGGTACCTGTTTTTAGACATTTGATGACAGTCAGATGAGTTTTCTGTCAGAGAAAGGATGCATAGAAGGTGAGTCTCACATTCAACTTGGCTCTCTGACTGGGAATAATATAAGTATAGCGTTGCAGTTGGGTAATGAAGAACCCGTGAGATGGAGAGCATTTTCTGTGGCTGCTCTCTAGTCACTGGATGTCAGTGTGCTTCTCATTTGATCTCTGCTAGAGTCTGTTGGTTAACACAGATCCTCACTGGGTTACTTTATACTGCTTAGAGTTAGAGATGCTGGAAAATCTCTCATAAGGATAATTTTCTCTGACTGCATGCAAGGCTAGGGCAGATGAATTGTCCTCTGCTGCTGTGTGGGATTTGAGAAAACTACTTTGTGAAGGGCTTGTGGCTACAATGGCTGTACTGGTGCACTGGTGTCAACCAGTGCAGGTGGAGATAGCTGTAGCTGTTGCTGGTATGGAGCAGAGTGTGTTCAATCTTCTATGGTTAAGCCTAATTTTGAGAAAATGCAAATGGTTACTGATGCAGATGTATCTCTGGCAACTTAAAATGCATAAGCAAATTCATAGGAGAGAATGTGATTACACTGAAGTTTCAATAGCACAGGATTAACAAAGGAACAGGACTGATTCTAGATATCACTAGATTTTTAAGGGAACAGAGGGAAAGATTGACTGAAAGAGAATGTCAGTGGAGAACCTGGGAAGACATGTGATGAAAGTCCATGGGGATGAGAGTTTGAACTAAGGATGATCAGTATGGTGAACTATTAAGGAGGAAAAATCAATTAACATATTTTTGAGTAACAGAAAAAACAAATGAGATGTTTACAGTTGAAGTATAATTAATGCTGTTAATTACATCAAGTTAGCAGTTATGGATGATACATTCCAGAAATGCAGCTGAGAAAGGAAAGATAAAAAAGATTCTGCCAATATTATATGTATATATGTATGTATGTCCATCTGTATGTACGTATTTAGACTAGGATTGCTATAAACATTTGTGTACACATTTTTGTTACAAAACCTGCTTTCAATTTTTTGGGTATGTGCTTAGGAATGAAATTTCTGAATTATATGGTAATTTTCTGTTTTCTATGGTAAAACTCTGTTTAAGTTTATGAGGAAACTCCAAACTGTTTTCCGAGCTGGTTGTGGTATTTAACATTCCCGTCAGCAGTATATAGGAGTTCCGATTGCTTCTCATCCTCACTAATACTTAATTTTTAAAAAATTTTTAATTGTTCATTCTTGTGCGTATGAAGTGGTAACTCACTTTGTTTTTTATTTGCATTTCCCTAATGACTGATGGTTAGCATCTTTTCAAGTGTTTTTGGCTATTTGTATATATACTGTGGATAAATGTCTACTTAAGTCTTTTGCATATTTTAATTATGGTATAAGGCTTTTTTATGTTGAGTTGTACACTAGAGCCTTATCACTTATATGACTTGCAAATATTTCCTCTATTTCACAAGTTGTCTCTTTCCAGATAGTGTCCTTTGATATACAAAAGTCTTTATAATTTTAATGAATTCCAGCTTGTCTATTCCCCCCTTTTTTTTGTGCTTTAGGTGACAGATCTAGAAAACCATTGCCAATTGCCATATCCAAATTTATGAAGATTTATCCCTATAATTTCTTGTAAGAGTTTTATAATTAAGCTCTTATGTTTGGATGTTTGATCCATTTGGACTTAATTTTTATATATGCTGTAAAGTAATGATCTAATATTATCTTTTTCATGTGGGTATTCAGTTTTCCTAGCACAATTTGTTGAAGAGACTATTCTTTCCCCATTGAATAATTTTGGAAGCTTTGTTAAAAAAGTTTATTAACTATATATGTAAAAGTTTATTTCTAAACTCTTAATTCTATTGCATTTGTCTATGTGTTTTGTTATATTCAGTAGCACCCTGTTTGATTATTGAAGCTTTATAGTAAGTTTTTATTATCAAAAAGTCCTAGTCACTTTTAATTGGGTTAATATATCTTTTTATTACTGAGTTATAGCAGCTATTTTTACATCTTAGGTGCAAGTTCTTTTAAAAATATATGTAATGTACATAGATACAGAACAGACCAATGGTTGCCAGAGGAGAAGGGGTTTGGGGACTGGATGAAAAAGGTGAAAAGATTAAAAAGTAGAAATTGATAGTTACAATATAATCACAGGAATATAGAATACAGCATAGAAAATATAGTTCATAATATTGTAACAACTATATATGGTGCCAGGTGGGTACTGAAAATATTAAGAAAAACACATTGCAAATTATAACTACTATTTTATATACCTGATACTAATGTAAAATGCTATTAATGTAAAATGTAATTAAAAAATAAAATTTTCAAATCAAAATCAAATGAGAGGACTTCCAGTCAAGATGGCAGCATAAATAAATATGGCTCACCTCCTCACACAAAACACATCAAAATTGCAAGTAAACTATAGAGCAACCATCATTCAGATCATTGGACTGAGCTGAATGGAAGTCCTATAGCTACAGAATTACAGAAGAAACCACACTGAGACTGGTGGAAGGGACAGAGATGTGGAATGGGCTGGTCCCATGCCCAAGTGTGGCAGATAAAAATTGGAAGGGATATTTCAAGAGCTTGGGGTCCCAGCCCCACACCAGACTCCCCAACCCAGGGTTTCAGGAAGTTAAGTCTCTATAACCTATGGCTATAAAACCCAGCTAGGATTGAAGTTGTAGAAGGCAGAAACGTCTGGAATCTCAGGCAGTTCCTTTAAAAGGCCTGCACACAGACTTACTTGGACTCACTCCTTCTGAGCTCCAGTGCTAGGACAGCAGGCTAAAAGGCATCAGAGACATACAGGAAGAAACCAAATTGTCTGGCATCAGGGTGAGAGCTAGGGGGCAGCTTTCTCCCAGAGAGAAGTGCTGGCAGAGGCCATTGTTCCCTTTCTGAGCCCTATCTTCACTTAGCCAGCAGGCAAGTGCCATTTCTGAGATTCCGTTAACCTGGTTCACACTGTTTGCCCCACCCTGGTGATTCCCTTAGGCCCTGACCCATCCAATTTTCAGGCCCGCCCAAGCTGTTTCCAGTAGCTTTTCCATATGAATGGCTTGTCTTGGCTCATGCTTCAGATTTTTCTAAATTCTGTCAAACAAGCAACATCTGACTTCAGCAGGCTACCTACTTCTTGCTATGTTGCCCCAGGAACAGCACTAGCAGCAACTGGCCTTGGTTCACAGCTTTGCCTCTTGCGGTTACCTCCAAGCCCAGCACAAGGAGTGGCCATCTGTAGATTGCATTGTAGCTAATGCTGTGTGACCCAGATATAACACTGGTGATGGCTGACCTTGGACATGGCAATAGCAATCAAGACTCAACTATAAGGGGTGGATGTATGCAGCCCTACACAGTGGCATACCTTGAGTACCCAGCTAAGGTAATAGAGGAGGCTGTACCACTAGACTCTACAGGACACCTACTACATTAAGCCACTCTAACAACCCTGAGAAACATAGTAGCTCTACCTAATCCATAAAAACAAACACAGGGAGGCTTTCAAAATGAGGAGACAAACAAACATGGCCCAATGAAAGAATAGAAGAAAACTCCATAAAAAGAACTAAACAAAATGGAGAAAAACAATCTATCACATGCAGACTTCAAAACAATGGTTATAAGGATGCTCAATGAACTTAGTGAGGACCTCAACAGCATAAGAAAGAACAGGTCAGAAATGAAGGATACACTAATTGAAGTAAAGAATAATTTACAGGGAATCAACAGTAGAGTGGATGAAGGCAAGAACCAGTCAGCCATTTGGAACATAAGGAAACAAAAAACCAACCAATCAGAACAACAAGAAAAAAAAAAGAATAAAAAACATGAGGATAGCATAAAGAGCCTCTGGGACCAATTCAAGCATACTGACATTCACACCATGGAGGTACCAGAAGGAGAAGAGAAAGAGCAAGAAATTGGAAACCTATTTGAAAGAATAATGAAATAAAGCTTCCTTAACTTGGTGAAGGAAATAGACATACAAGTCCAGGAAGCACATAGAGTCCCAAACATGATGAACCCAAAGAGGCCCACTCCAAGACACATCATAATTAAAACAACAAATGTTCAATACAAAAAGAGAATCATTTTTAAATGGCAGATCCATTTTATTCTATTTTTTAAAAGATTTTATATATTTATTTATTTTTAGAGAGAGAGAGGAAGAAAGGGAGAAGGAGAGGGAGAGAAACATCAATGTGTGATGGCTTCTTGCATGCCCCCTAGTGAGCACCTGGCCGGAAACCCAGGCATGTGCCCTGACTGGGAATTGAACCATCTATCCTTTGGTTCACAGGCTGTTACTCAATCCACTGAGCTGCACCAGCCAGGGCCAAAGAGAGAATCTTAAAAGCAGCAAGAGAAAAACAGTTAGTTACCCACAAGGGAGCCACCGTAAGACTGTCAGTTGATTTGTGAAAAGAAACTTTGCAGGCCAGAAGGTATTGGCCAACCCTGGCTGGCATAGCTCAGTTGGTTGAGTGCGGGCTGTGAATCACAGTGTCGCAGGTTTGATTCCCAGCTAGGGTACATGCCTGGGTTGCAGGCCATAACCCCCAGCAACTGCACACTGATGTTTCTCTCTCTCTCTCTATCTCCCTCCCTTCCCTCTCTAAAAATAAATAAATAAAATCTTAAAAAAAAAGAATGACTTGTTCATTTAAAAAAAAAGAAGATATTGGCAAGACATATTCAAAGTTCTGGAAAGCAAGAACCTACAACCAAGATCTCTCTACACAGCAAAGCAATCATTTAGAATATGCAGACAGATAAAGAGCTTCCCAGACAAGGAAAAACTAAAGGAGTTAATCATCACCAAACCAGTATTACAGGAAATGTGAAAAGGTCTTCTTGAAGAAGGAGAAGATCAAAACTATGGACAATAAAATGGCAATAAATACATCTCTATCAACAACTGAACCTAAAAAAAAACCCAAACAAACCCACAACAAAATAAACAAGCAGAACAGAAACAGTATCAGATAAAAGAATATTTTGATGGCTGCCAGATGGGAGGGGGTTAGGAGGATAGGTAAGAAAGGTGAAGGGATTAAAAAGTACAAATTTGTAATTAAAGAATAGTCATGGGGCTGTAAAGTACAGCATAGGGAATAGGGTAGCCAAAGAACATTAATGCAGGACCCATGGACATGGACAATGGTGTGGGGATTGCCTGAGAGAGTGGGAGGGGCTGGGTGGAGGGGGACAAAGGGGGGAAATTTGGGATAACTGTAATAGTATAAACAATAAAATATAATTAAAAAAGAAAAATAAAATTTAAATTAAAAAATAAATAAATGCAATAAAATATATGTACTCTGTATTATTTCATATATTACATGGCTTGCCTTTTTGCTTTCTCAGTAATATCTTTAAAAATATTAATAGACCTTATTTTTTTCAGGAGTTTATCTTTAAGAAAGGTGAAGTAGAAACTATTAAAAAGTTCCCCTACACCCTCCCAACCCCTTAGTTACTCTGTTATTAACATCTTGTATTAGTATGTTGTTTGGGTTATAATTTATGGGCCCATATTGATATATTATTATTAAATCCTATAGCTTACTTTAAGGTTTTTTTTCTGTTTCTGTTCTGCTTGTTCATTTATTTTGCTTTTTAACTTAAATTATTGATAGATATGTACTTGTAGCAATTTTATAGCAATTGTTTTATTTTTTGTTTTTTTTTTCTTCTTTAGTAGAACCCTACATTTCATTTAATACTGGTTTGGTGGTTACAAACTCCTTTAGCTTTTTCTTGTTTGGGAAACTCTTTATATGTCCTTTGATTATAAGAGCATCTGTCAAAATTATAGAAGTTAGAATTATAGCAAGGATTTTTTTGGAGGATTCATAGACGGAAGAGAGTTAGGAGGAAAACATTATAGGTAGATAAAAAGGGAATGGAATATCTGGTGAATAATATTGGTTAGTGGCTAAATCTGCACATTTCAGGTCTAGGAAGTGAGGATAAAACTTTATTTACAAATCATTTATGAACATAACTTTATTTATTCCCATTTAGGGCCATTGCTATTATCAAGGATATGCTGCAGAGATTCCAAAATCAGCTGTGACACTTAGCACCTGTTCTGGACTCAGGTAATGGCATATTCTAGAGATGTGCATGATAAACTATCTTGTGTAACACTTTAATTTTTAAAAATCCCTTGAATTGTAGAGTGAATGCAAAGAAAATATAGGCTTTGATTGTGTTTCTTCTCATATATATATTTTCCTTGTCCTCCTCTTATCATTTTTAATATATTTTTGTCTCTATCCTAGCTTATAGTCATAAAATTTATTTACCAAAAACCCACTAGTATAAAGAATATTCACATTTATTAACCACCTAGAACCACAGTGACTCATACATGCCATATAGATAGAAGGTGTAAGATTGGATTGAAGTTAATTTGAGTAAGCTGGGACTATTCTTAGATTAAATTAAACCATAAAGGCCACTATAAAGTTTCTATAAAATGTTTTTACTTAGTTTTGACTTATAGTGCTCGGTGGAAATCTATATTAATTCCTATCATTTATTTTTTATCTGTTTAAATATTCAGAGGATTATTGCAGTTGGAGAATGTCAGTTATGGAATTGAACCATTGGAGTCTGCAGCTATGTATGAACATATACTTTATCAAATAAAGAATAATGAAATTGATTTTTTTTCTTTACAAGAAAATGATTCTACAATCCAAACTGCAAATCAGCCCTATAAGATTCTTGTGAAGTCAGAAGTAAGCAACCATTTTCTGAAATCTTCATTTTTGTTGATTTTGATAAATGTACTCATACTGAAATGTGTTATATTTGGAAAACAAATTTAAACTGATACTGATTATATTAAAACCTCTTGTAAGATATTTATCTTAAATACTATATGAATAGATAAATAAAAATGTTTATTCCTATAAAATTTAGAGAATGTGATAGATGCAAACACACATACTTCAAAGTGAACATTCTTACATTTTCCTAATTGCATTTTTATGCAGATGTACATAGTTGCATTGTTACTGAATTTGCATCTTACTAATAGAATGCTACCCAAATTTGTTGATTATTATTTTGTCAGTATTATTTTGCCAATATATATTTTTCTTTGTAGAAGAGTATTATTATGAGTAATATATGCTACTAAATTTTTATTTTTATTGTTGACACTGTCACAGATGTTCCCATTTTCCTCCCCTTTGCCCATCTCCACCCAGTCCCTGCACTCCCTTCTCTCTGGCTAGCACTACACTGTTGTCTGTGCCTATGAGTTATGCATATATGTTCTTTGGTGAATCCCATCACCTTCTTTCATCTGGTCCTCCCTTCCTCCCCACTGTGACAGCTATCAGTCTGTTCCATGTGTCCATCCTTCTGTTTCTATTTTGCTTGTCAGTTTATTTTGTTCATTATATTCCACATGTAAGTGAGATCATATGGTATTTGTCTTTCTATGACTAGCTTATTTCACTTAGCATAATGATCCATCCATGCTGTTGCAAAAGGTAAGAGTTCCTTGTTTTTTACAGCCATGTAGTATTCCATTGTGTAAATGTACCACTGCTTTTTTATCCAGTCATGTACTGTATCTGCTGATGGGTATCTGGGCTGTTTCCAAATCTTGGTTACTGTAAACAACTCTGCCATAAATATAAGGGGGTATATATTCTTTTGAATTGGTGTTTCAGGATTCTTAGGATGTGTTCCCAGAAGTGGGAATCATTGGGTCAAAAGGCAATTAAATTTTTAATTTTTTTGAGGAAATTCTTTTTGTTTTCCACAGTGATTGCACCAGTCTGCATTCCCAACAGTGCACTAGGGTCTCCTTTTCTCCACATCCCAGTCAGCAAACTTGTTGTTTGTTGATTTATTGATGGTAGCCAGTCTGGTAGGTGTGAGGTTATGTCTCACTGTGGTTTTAACTTGCATCTCTCTGATGATTAGAGATGTTGAACTTTTTTTTCTAATGTGTCGGCCATTTGTATGTCCTGTTTGGAGAAGTGTCTATTCAGTTCCTTAGCCTATTTTTTACTTGGATTGTTTTTTTGGTATGGAGTTGTATAAATTCTTTATATATTTTGAAGTTAGTCTCTTATCAGATGTATCATTGGCAAATATGTTATCCCATACACTGGGTTCCCTTTTAATTTTGATGAGGTTTTCCTTTGTTGTACAGAAGCTTTTTATTTTGATGTAGTCCCATTTATTTATGTTTTCCTTTGTTTCCCTTACCCTAGGAGGCATATTGACAAAAGCATTATTTTGAGAGTTGTCTGAGATTTTACTGCCTATGTTTTCTTCAAGAGGTGTTGTGATTTCGCAACTTACATTTAAGTCTTTTATCCATTTTGAGTTTTTTCTTGTGTATGGAGTTAAGTTGGTTGTACTTTCATATTTTTGCTTGTGCCTGTTCAATATTCCCAACACCATTAAAAAGACTCTCTACTCCATTATTTGCTTTTGCGTCCTTTGTCAAATATTAATTGATCATAAAAGTGTGGGTTGATTTCTCTGTGTTGTTCCATTGATGTATATGCCTGTTCTTATGCCATTACCAGGCTGTTTTGATTACAATGGTCTTATAGTATGGTTTGATATCAGGTATAGTGATCCCTTCAACTTTGTTCTTCCTTCTCAAGTTTGCTGAGGCTATTCTGGGTCTCTTTTGGTTCCATATAAATTTCTAGGTATGTGCTCTAGATCTATGAGGTATGAAATTTGTGTTTTAATAAGAACTTCATTGGATACATAGATTGCCTTGGGTGGTATGGGCATTTTAATGATGTTTTAAACATTTTATTTATTTTTTATTTATTTTATTTTTTATTTTAATTGTTGTTCAAGTACAGTTTTCTGTCTTTTACTCCCATCCCAGCCAACACCCCCAGCCCTCCTCACCTCCCTCCCATTTCCACACCCACCCCCATAGTTTTTGTCCATGTGTTCTTTATACTTGTTTCTGCAAACCCTTCCCCTTTTCCCCTGAAATTCCCTCCCTTCTCCCCTCTGGTCACTGTCAGCCTTCTCTCTATTTCAGTGTCTTTGGTTATATTTTGCTTGTTTGTTTGTCTTGTCATTTAGATTCCTGTTAAAGGTGAGATCATATGACAATTGTCTTTCACCGCCTGGCTAATTTCACTTAGCATAATGCTTTCCAGTTCCATCCATGCTGTCCCAAAGGGTAGGAGCTCTTTCTTTCTTTCTGCTGCATACTATTCCATTGTGTAAATGTACCATAGCTTTTTGATCCATTCATTTACTGATGGGCACCTAGGTTGTTTCCAACACTTGGCTATTGTAAATTGTGCTGCTATGAACATTGGGGTGCTCTTGGATTGGTGTTTCAGGGTTCTTAGGATATAATCCTAGCAGTGGAATTGCTGGGTCAAAAGGCAGATCCATTTTTAGTTTTCTGAGGAAGTTCCATACTATTTTCCATAGTGGTTGCACCAGTCTGCAATCCTACCAACAGGGCAGTAGGATTCCCTTTTCTCCACAACCTCTCCAACACTTGTTGTTTGTTGCTTTGTTGATGCTGGCCATTCTCACTGGTGTGAAGTGGTATCTCATTATGGTTTTAATTTGCGTCTCTCTGATAGTTAGCAATATTGAGCATCTTTTCATGTGTCTCTGGATCCTCTGTATGTCCTCTTTGGAGAATTCTTTGAATGCATGAACACAGTAAATGCTTCTACATATTTGTATTTTTGTCAATTTTTTTCTTCAATGTCTTATAATTTTCCAAGTTACAAGTGTTTACCTCCTTGGTTAAATTTATTCCTAGGTACCTTATTTTGTTTTTGTTGCATAGTAAATGAGATTGTTTTCTTAGTTTCTATTTCTGATAGTTTGTTATTATTGTATGGAAATACCATTAATTTCTGAATATTAATTTTGTACTGCTACTTTGCTGAATTCATTTATTAGGTCTAGTAGCTTTTGGGTGTAGTCTTTATGGTTTTCTGTGTACAATATCATGTCATTTGCAATCCATGACAATTTTACTTCTTCCTTTACAATTTGAATGCATTTTATTTTTTCTTCTTGTCTGATTTCTGTGGCTAGGACTTCCAGTACTATGTTGAGTAAGAGTAGTGATAGCCGACATCCCTGTCTTTTTACTGATCTTAAGGGAAATGTTTTTAGTTTTTGTCCATTGAGTGTGATTATTGGATGGAGTTTGGCATATATGGCCTTTATTACACTGAGGTATGTTCCCTGTATTCCCTCTTTGCTGAGAGTTTTTATCATATATGGGTGCTGGATTTTATCAAAAGTTTTTTTGCATCTGCTGATATGATCATGTGGTTTTTGTCCTTCATTTAGTTTATGTGGTGTGTCATGTTTATTGACTTGTGGATATTTTACCAACCTTGCATCCCTAGAATAAATTCTAGTTGATCATGGTTATGACAAATGCCATTAAATTTTAAAGCAATGAATGTCCAGCTCTCATTGGTGTAACATAAGGCTTATGCAGAGTCCAAGGTGGATGAAATTTTGGTTAGTTCCCTTCTTGGCTTTGACTCAAGGTCCCTGAGAGTCCCTCCCTAGACTACATAAATCTAGTCAAGAGTAAAGGGAAAATAGTATGTCTCCACATTGGTACAGGTGAGCTTGGACATCTTCTTTTCATTATTATCTCTTCTCTTGGAGAGGGAACAAATGCCATTTTTGGATAATTGGCCTTTTCTTATACTATAACCCAAGTGTAATATGTCACTAATCTCCTCTTAGAGTGAAAGAACTGCATGTTTTCTAAAATAAAAACAATTATCAGAAAGAAATAAACATGACTCATATGAATGAATATAAATATAGGCAAGAGAGGAAAATGCAAAATTCAAAGTGAATGAAAAGCAATGTCGATGTTATTTTATATTCATGTACTGCCTCATAGGTGCCACATATTGTTTTAAGTGCTTTTACATTTAACCCTTCTTTGCAGTTCTTTCAACAATTCTAGTATTAGCGCCATTGCCAAATGCAGGCAAGAATGTGGAACCATTGGTACTTATTAATTCTTGGTAAAAATGCAGAATGATCAAATGACTTTAGAAAATAATCTGGCACTTTCAAGCCATTTTTACACACCCACAATTACTGTATGACTCAGATATTCCAATTCTAAGTACCAAGAAAAATGAAAGAAAAAAAACTGCAGAAAGGCCTGTGCAATAATACTTATAACAGCTTTTTAAATAATAGCTACAATAGCTAGATAAGCACATGGTCAACAGGTTATTGCATATACCAGCTGCAATGTGTGCCTTCAATGGCATACTGCATAGAAAAAAGCTAATGCATTAACTAATATTGAGAACAACAACATGGGGACTGTTGAATGGAAGAAACCCAACAGAAATAAATACATGCCCTATGATTCCATGTATATGAAATTCTAGTATAGATCATTGTAACCCATGTTGAAAAAAAGCAAATCATTGGTTGTCTTGAGCCCCGTGGGCTACTGCCTTGGAAGGGGGTGATGGGAACATTTTTTGTCTTACTTATGGAAATGGTTACATGGCTACATTAATACTAATGCATATAACTGTATACTTAAAATGGATGCATTTTATTGAGTGTAAGCCACAATGAAGAGTCAATCTAAATAATTTAAGGTATAAAAATAATGAGAAAATAAGAAGCAGTGTTTGGGGGAAAGTTGATGGGAGTTTGTTAGCCTGAAGGTTGGAGGAGGATCCTAGAGGAAGGTTTTGAGAGGAAGGATATATGGGTTCTCCAGCCCTGCAGTAACTGTTTACTAAGAATATAAAATGAAAGCTTCTGATTTGAATTTCTAAAATATTTATTTGGAATCTCACCTGTTCATTTATTCAGTCAACAGCCATCCTTTTGTTTTCCTATAATCTGTATAACTTTATGTATCTATATTTATCTGTTTCTTTGTCTATGCCTCTCTGTTCTGTATGCATATTATGTACATAATTACAAACAACATACAAATTTTAAATCTTTTATTTAATTCATTTTTTCCATTTCACAGAAAAAATCAGATTTCGTGCCATTGAAAAAAACTCTGAAAATACAAATCATTATGGATAAAGCCTTGGTATGCATTATTGATGCATTTCATCAAATATTTATTTTGTGTTTAAATATGAAGGAATAAGAAAAAGAAACATACCTTTTTATAATACAGATATATTAAGCTTTAAGCTTTTTTATATTAATGTAACTCATATTAATGTAGCTATCTCAATATGTGACATCTGCTTTTTGTGTAGTAATGTCTTGATAAATATTTTCATGCTGTGACTCTTAATATTTCTGTCCTCCTAAAGTAGTGGTTTTCAAATTTTAATTTGCACATAGTGGCTTTATTTAAACAGTCTTTGTCACTTGGGCTATTGATAATTAGTGATTATTGACATATGCAAGCTCATTTTCATGACCATATTTTTTATTTCTTTTGTCTTATTTTTCATATGTTTAGGCTCACAATGGATCACCTTCACTCATACCACATATATGCTGCATTGTGTGAATATACAGTGTGGTTTATTGGAAAAGGTCACATGCAGAAAAATAGGAAAGTCCAAACAGTTTCTAAAGAACTAGAACAGCATCTCTTATGTTGAAATCAGAGAATTCTGTTCATTGTGTTTCCTGTCAGTAATCTTCTGCAGACTTGCTGGAGATTATTGAAAATCTCAAACTGCCACTTTTTATGCTTTTCACAAACAGAAATGTATGTGAACACACAATTAGAATTATTTCACAGAAAATTATGATTTTTGTTTCCTTAAATAAGGACATATTCTTTTTTCTTTATCCTCACCTGAAGACATTTTTTCCCTTGCTTTTAGAGAGAAAAGGAGTTAGATAGGGAAGAAGGGGATATATATATATATATATAGATAGATATAGATATATAGATAGATAGATAGATAGATAGATAGATATCGATTGGTTGACTTCTCATGCATGCCTCAACCAGGTAATGAACCTGCAACCTGGGTATGTGCCCTGACCTGGAATTGAACCTGTGACCTTTGAGTCTATGGGACAATGCTCCAACTAGCTGAGCCACACCAGCCAGGGCAGGACACATTCTTAAAATTATTCACTGCTATGGTACTCAGGCCTCTCTGTCAGACCAAAAGATTTATTAGGTTAGTTAGAGATTTGCATTCTGGTTTTTACCCTCAGTATTTATAAATTCTTGGAAACTTAACATTTAACACTTGATTTCTATGTATGTAAACAGAAAAATAATCATAACTCTATCATTTCAATATTATTGATTAACACATAAAGACCCTGGGTATATGCCTAAAACATCAAAATTTGATAAATTTTAATTCTACTTTTGTCTTTTCACCTAAGCTTTTATTATAACATTTTTATCTATTTAAAATGTAATTCATTAATTTTCACTGGTGATTAAGAAATAGAATTTGCCTTTCAGTATGATTATATGGGCTCTGAAGTGGCAGTTGCAGTGGAGAAGGTTGTCCATATCATTGGTCTCATCAACACTGTAAGTGGTTATGATTCATATTTTAAATAAGAAACATTCTTATTAATGCAATAACATTTCTATAAAAAGGATAGCCCTACCAATCAGCTTTATTCACCAGTGGATTTTATCTCCAAATAATAGTAAATTGAATAGATTAGCATTATGTATAGAGATGTAATGTTATATTTGTTATTACTTAAACTATATATCATGCATCTAATTTTTCAGATGTTTTCCCAGCTAAAAGTGACTTTTATGTTAACATCTTTGGAGCTCTGGTCTGATGAAAGTAAGATTTTATCTGATGGGGATGCTAATGAAGTACTGCAAAGATTTGTGTCATGGAAAGAAAAATTTTTGTTTCAAAGGTCCCGTGATATGGCATTTTTATTAATGTAAGTACCTTATTTGCATTAAGATGCAGTTTATCAAATTATTTGATATGTTAGTTGTCACAATTATATATAAAATCTAATATGTATAATGACAAAAATAGTGCATGAACAGAGTGTTTGTAAAGTAATAAAAAAATAAGATAACAAGGAAATGTGATAAATCATTGTAGGCCATTATTCTCAGAGTAGACTATTTACCTATGAAAACTGAATGAACTGGAAAATACAGAACATCTTGGGATAAACATAGACCTCTGTGTTTTTAAAGATTTTCTTAGATGCAAATAATTTATACCATCAATTTAACATTAAAGAAAATACAAATAAGTTAATAGAATGTAATAATTCCATACAATGCTGGTTATAATACAAAACATTAAATTGTAATGTACTTACCTTCTGATATTTCTTTATTGACATAAGTGGTAGCTAATAAATTACTTGCACTTTATATTTCAAAATACTATGCAGGGTTTTGTTTTAATAACTTGATTTTTTTTGATGGAAAAAACAAAAAACATAATTTTGAAATTATAAGCAATGTGGAATACATTTACAAATCTATTGGTGTCTCCTGTGGAATGTGAGGTCAGGTTTGGGGATTTGGGAGTAACATGAACTAAGAGCTAAAGTGAGTAAGGACAGTTTGCACATCCTATCTATTTTTTTCTTAGTGAGTCTACTGTATATTGTCTCTGTTTGTCTTCCAATTGACATTTTTACGTACTTTACGGGTTTTTCATGTATAAATCATGGCAATAAGCTATCCTGACTTTTATGTCTAAAAATTATATCCATCCAGCACTGACAATAGTGCTGATTAATACTGTTTTAATTCTCACCCAAAGACAGTTTTTCAGTGCTTTTAGGGAGAGAAGAAGGGAAAGAAAGAGGGAGAGAGAACCATCAATGTGAGACAGAAGCATGAATTGGTTGCCTTCTTGTATCCACCCCAATCAGGAATCAAACTTGCAACCTGGGTATGTGCCGTGACCAGGAATGGAACCTGTGACCTTTCCATCTACAGGATGACACTCCAACCAACTGAGCAACACTGTCCATGGCCGATTAATTTTTTGGATGAATTAGGCACTGCTGGGTTCTGGGATATGTGTCAAATAAAATTAAAGTATCCTTTAAAACCTAACTTTGTAGGAATTACGGGAGATTACCTGAATACAGAATGATTAAATGCATTGGACATGATATGTAATATTCATGTTGTAAAGAAAACATAGCTTTATTGAAGTATCCAAGTCTTAAAAGGTCATTAATGTTAATAATTAAAAATACATTAATCAGCACTGGCTGGTGTGGCTCAGTTGTTTGGAGCATTGTCCCACACACCAAAAGGTTGGGAATTCAGTTCATGGTCAGGGCACATATACCTAGGTTGTTCCCTGTTTGGGGCTCATGTAGGTGGCAACCAATTAATGATTCTATCTCATATTGATATTTCTCACTCTTTCTCTCCATTCCTCTGTCTCTAGTCAGTGAACATATTTTTAATAAATAAATAAATGCATTTATCCACAAGAGAAATTTTATTATTTAGTTACAGGAATTATTCTAATTATGTGGGAGCAACATATTATGGAATGGTGTGTGATCCAAAACTTGCTGCAGGAATTGCTCTGGTATGTGTTTTATTTCCATGTCTTCAGTAGTTATATATCATTTGAAAGTTAATAACCACTTCAAGGAAAGAAAGTCCACACAAGTGTATCTACCATACTGTTTTGACAGATTTTTAGGAAATGTTTTTTTATAGATTTTGAAACTCAAATGATATAGTTTTAAAAGGATTTTTATTATGGTAGAATACATAAAAGGGAATGAGATATCACTTCAATTTTAATTATTTGGCATATGTACTCAGAAGTAGGTTCACTGTATCATATGACTCTATTTTTAATACTCTGAGAAATCATCACACTGCTGACATCATTTTATAATCCCCAAGTTCATATTGTATTCATGAAAACATCACCAATACTTTTTTCTGTGTTTTTTTTTAATACCTGTCATCCTAATTGGTATGAGGTGATATCTCATTGTGGTTTTGGTTTGTATTTCCATGATTATTGGTGATACTGAGCAGCTTCTCAGGCATTTTGGCTTTTTGTATATTTTTCTGGATAAATAGCTATTCAAATTCTTAGTCCATATTTATTTTTTATTTTATTTTATTTTATTTTATTTTATTTATTTTTATCATTTTTAATTTTCAATCACTGTTGAAATGCATTATTACATTAGTTTCACATGTATACCCCAGTGATTAGACATTACATAGCTTAATATATGATCATCCCAATAAGTCTTATCACCTGACATAATATATAGTAATTAGACTATTATTGACTGTATTCCCTATGCTGTACTTTACATCCTTGTGACTATTCTGAAGCAACCAATCTGTACTTCTTAATCACTTTACCTTTTGTACCCATCCACCTGACCCCTCTCCTATCTGGTGACTGACAAAATGTTTTCTGTATCTATTTTTCTATTTCTTTTATGCTGGATCTTTTGTGTTTTCTATAAACAAGATCATGTCAGCTGTGAACAGAGAGAATTTTACTTCTTCCTTTCCAGTTTAAAATTCATTTATTTATTTTATTACTTGATTGCTCTGGCTAGATCTTCCAACATTATGTTAAATAGAAGTGGTGGGAGAGGGAACATCCTAGTTTATTCTTGATCTTAGAGGAAAATCTTTCAGGAATGCACTAGTGAGCATGATGTTAGCTGTGAGCTTTTCATGTTATTTATTGTATTGAGGTAGTTTTCTCATATTCCCATTTTGTTGAGTGGTGTTTACTAAAACATGTGTTGAGTCTTATAAAATGCATTTTCTGCATTAATTGAGATGATTATGTGGATTTTGCCCTTCATTCTGTAAAAATGGTGTATTACATTGACAGATTTTCCTATGTTAAGTAATCTCTGTGTTCCAGGGAAAAAATCTCAGTTATGGTGTATAATCCTTTAATGTGCTATTGAATTTGGTTTGCTAGTATTTTGTTGAGGATTTTGTATTAACATTCATCAGGTATATTAATTTGTAATTTTTTTTGTTGAGTGTTTTGGTGTCAGGGTAATGCTGGCCTCATAGAATAATTTTGTGAGCATCCCCTCTTCAATTCTGTGGAAGAATTTGAGAATTGTCATTAAATGTTAGCTAAATGTTTGGGAGAATTTACCAGTGGTTCAGGTCCACCAAAGCCTGACTCACTGGTAAGTTTTGATTTAAAAGCCTGATTCAAAGCCATCAGGTCCTGGGTTTTTGTTGTTGTTTTGTTGTTGTTCTTGGAAGGTTTTTGATTACTGCTCCAATCTCCTTACTAGTTATTGTCCTTCAGATTTTATCTTTCTTCATTATTTAATCTTGATGGGTTATATGTGTATCCTTTTCTTCTAGCTTATTGATAACCTGAATGTAGTAAAATGTTGAATCTTGGTCTCAAGTGAAATGAATACCATCATGTACCATATAATGCTATGTAGGTCAACAATGGACCATTCTTTGATGGGGGTTCTAGAAGATTATAATGGATCTGAAAAATGACTATCACCTAGTAAGTTTGTAGCCATCATAACTTCATAGTGCAACACATTACTCATGTGATTCTGGGGATGTAGATATCAACAAACCTATTTCACTGCCAGTTATATAAAAGTAGAAATATAATTACATACAGTACATAATACTTGAAAATGATAATAAATGACTATGTTACTGGTTTATGTAATTATTATACTATACCATTTTTATTTTTTAATTATTTTTTTATTGTTGTTCAATTATAGTTGTACCACTCTTTTCCCCATTGCTCTCCCCTGCACTGCCCATCCCCCATCTATTCCCATAGTCAATCCCTACCCTGGTGTCCATGAGTCCTTTATACCATGTTCTTTGGCTTGCCCCTTCCCCTTCTTTCCATCATTATCCCCCTCCCCACTTCCCTCTGGCCAGTGTCCATTTCTCCTTTATTTTCATGTGTCAAATTCTATTTTGCTTGTTTGTTTTGTTGATTAGGTTCCACTAATAGGTGAGATCATATGGTATTTGTCTTTCATCACCTGTATTTTTTTACTTATCATAATGCTCTCCAGTTCTATCCATGCTGTGGTGAAGGATAGGAGTTCCTTTCTTTCTGCTGTGTAATATTCCATTATGTAAATGTAGCACAGTTTTTTGATCCACTCATTTACTGATGGGCACTTAGGCTGTTTCCAGCACTTGGATATTGTATACAGCAATGCTGTGAACATTGGGGTGCATAGGTTCTTTTGAATTGGTGTTTCGAGATTGTTAGGGTATAATCCCAGCAGTGGAATCACTTGATCAAAAGGCAGTTCCATTTTTAATTTTTTAGGAAATTCCATATTTTTTTCCACAGTGGATGTACCAGTCTGCATTCCCAGCAACAGTGTATTAGTGTTTCCTTCTCTCCATAACATCACAAACACTTGTTGTTTTGTTGATTTGTTAATGATGGTCATACTTTTTATCATTATTTTAGAGTGTACCCTTTCTACTTATAAAAATAAGTTTTCTGTGAAACATTATGTCATATTATATTACAGCAGCCTCTTACATCTTGTGTTTATTGCATCTCTTGATCACATCATTTTATTTTGTGGTTTATCTAATCTTGTGTTGTTTTGTTCAGCATGGCCCCTAAACATACAAAATCACTGTTGCAATTAAGTGACCACTTTGAGTGATAGCTGTGGAGACAAAATTAAAAGTGATTAAGTACTACAAAGGAGGAAAGTCAGTTCATGCTTGCCAGCCAGGCATATTTTATTTCATCATGTCCACAATCTCTTTCTCTCTCACTATATATATGATATTGATATATATCTTAGGTGTTTTTATTTCTTCAAATTAGTTGTTTATCAAGAGTGACTGAAAAAATTTAATTGAGTCTCATCATCATCATGGAAATGACTTTAAAAGAAAACTGGTCAGATGAATATTATTGCTTCTTATTTTCAACCACTAAATAGTTGTCATTGATAAATAGATAACCAACAGTCTGTCAAGAGTGCTCAAGATATGTTACATAATGCAACATACCTGTTCATATTGGAGGTTGAGGGGAGGGAAGACTAGAAAACAATTTATGTGAGCTTCTTGATTTCATCATACAAGACAAGCACAAAGCATCAGCCATCCCTCTGCCAACATTGGACCATGCACCCTTGAAAAAGGCTTTGCCTCCTTCATCACCAGCAATCTTTCCAGCAGCCGAGCATGCGTATGTACATGATATCAGTTCCTTTGCACCCTGACTGCACCATCATGCACTGACAAACAGAGTCAAATGGATAGGAAGCCAACCCAGCTGATGAAGATATGAGTATTCTTGGGAGCTGGAAGCATTCCTTTTGCAGAGTCATAGATACCAAATAGGCAGCTTGGTAGATGATAATACCCTGCACAGACACATTAAAGCCTTGGTACAGACCCTTAATTCAACCAGAACTGTAGATCTCAATGAGGCAGTCATTGAGGTCTTTGAATTCCCTTTCAGCTCCAGCTTTGCCTATATCAGCTGCTAGACGAGTATGGGAAAAATTCAGAGGATATATAAAACACAGTGAGGTGGCCCCAGTGGCACCACCTGATGCCAGATTCCCTGCAAAGAAGCACCAAAACTGTGTTTTCTCATGCACACCACCCAGGAAGATCTGCTTGTATTTATCTTTAAAGGTAAAGTGGAGAGCCTGGGAGGAGAAATAGCTAGCGACATTGGCTAGGTTACCATACCAGCAGGATAGGATTCCCTTCTCCTTGGGGATACAAACCACATAGTCTAGAATGCCCTTGTATTGCTTGTTTATGGTGATTTGCTTGCTGGCATGCTACACCTGCAGCAGCAGCTTGACCCACTTGACTGACACTACCACTGTCTTTGTAATGGCTGTGGCCAATTCACCTGCCAGGAAGTCCTTGGTGAAAGACACATCAGCATCTGTCATGTTGAAAGGAAAAAAGGGCTGGGGTGACTGCAGGACTGGGCTCATAACCAGCTGGAACTCCTGTGGTATTGACAGCCACAATCTTAAAGATCAAGAACAACAGAGCTGTTGAAGGATCTCTTCATTGAATGGAACAAAACTAACAAATTGAAGAAGGGCCTATATTATACATGGAGAAAATTCTAATGACCTGCAATGAAGACCAGACACAAGAGTGTATCTCTCTGTGTCACAGTGATGATGGCCAAAGCAACAAGTTCGTTTGTGATGCTAAACAAAACTGGACCCAACCACAATGTTGAATTTACTGCCAGCTCTATGTGGTTTAAACAGTTCAAGAATCAAAGGGTTGCAAGATGGTCCTGGAATAGGAAGATCTTTTTTGTACCTCCTCCCAGAACCAAACTGGAAATGAAACTAAATTGGGAAACACTCACCCTGAATTACCAAGTGAGGACTATCTGAAAAGGAGACTTTTAACCAAGGATGGACAGAAGCCACCTTGAGACCAGCAGTAGGGATGAAGTGGTAAAACAGGATGGCTCTGCTCCCACAGGTGGCAACCAAGGTTGAGGAGGGATAGCAGAGATGCAGAAGCTTCCCCCTGAGAGGAAGGATTCATGGACCCCAGACTGGGCTCCCCAGCAGGGAGTGCCAAAGCTGGGATCAGCCGTCCATGTAGTAGTATCCATTGGTGAAAGATGGTGGAGTTTCTCTCCACTGGGAGAGACAGAACCCCTTGAAGACAAAGCCACTTTTCTAAGGGGCCAAAGCACCCTGGGTTCTGGCAAAGGGAGGGTGGTGCACACTGGAATTGCCTGAGTGTCTGAAGTGGGAGGCATTGGGAAGAGACACAGGGAAATGGTTGATGGGATCCCTGTGCTGGGTCATTGTCCAATATTGCAGCAGCCATTTCTTCTTGAGAAAAGCAAGGCCCTCCCAGGGAATCAACCTGGGGAAAAGCAATTATCCCACCCTCTGGGATACCTGCTCACCCTACCTGTTGAAATGTCACTCACTCCATCCTCTGGAATTTCACTCGCCCCAGCCTGCATCTTAACTCCTTCTGTGGAGACAGCAGCATAGGCAGACTCAGGGGGTGTCAGAGACTGGCTTTGGGTTGCAGCTTTTCCTACACTTCCATGGGAACTGGACTGGCACTTTCCCATCATGGGAGAGCTGATGGAAACACCCTCCTAGTTTCTGGCAGACCCAAACTCTGAGCTCTGGAGGTCATACCCACATGCCTGTTAGGGGCTCCACCCTGCAGAGTTCAGGAAAATAATCCAGGATAGACTCAGATGTGTGGCTCTGAACCGAAAAAGACTCCCACCATCTTCCCTGAAGTTTGAACAGCACCTCCCCTTCACAGGGGATTCAGGGGCCCCACCAGCCCCACTCTTCCAGAAGCCATTTCAGAAACAGCTATTCAGTGACTAAGATTGACAGCCAGCTGACAGGCAGAGACAGGCAGAGATGGATCCTGTGGTGCTTTGAGACTTTTTTTTACCCACCCCTGGGCCCAGTGCTGATAAAAGCTAGCTTTGTAGAGCAACTTGGCTCATCCTGGGTGTGGCCAAGCCTGGAGGAATCAGCCCCAAAGTCTGGATCACCTGTAGCTTCGAACAGGCTGCTGAGGGCTAGATGTGGACAGCATCCAACATTGCCTTACATCAGCTTCAGACAACATTGGAGCAGTATCCAAAGGGAGATCACAGCAGGCAGGCACTAAACTCTGCTGAGACAAGTTTCACTTTTTTCCCATTATTTTCTTATTCATAGCTTTATTAATTTTTCCATGTTTGCTATTTTTTCTTTCATATTTACTATTTCATATTTCTTTCATATTCTTTTCTTTACTATATTTATTCTCTCATTTTCTTATTCTTTTTTCTTGTTATTTTACTTTCTTTTTTTCTGGTTTTCTCTTTCTATTTCTTATTTTTTCTCTTCTTTCCTCTGATATTCTTTTTTCTTTTGTCTTCTCATAGTCTTTTTTCTTTTAATATTCCTTTTTCCTCTTCTCTTATTCTTTTCTCTTTTGTTATTGTAGTTGGGGTTTTACTTGTTTTTGTTTTATTTGTGTTCTTTGGTAAACCTGCACATGAATGTTTAGAGCAACTGTGTTCATAATTGACACAAATTGGAAGCAACCAAGATGTCCTTTAGTAGGTGAATGGATAAACAAACTGAAATAAATCGCTATTATGGAATATTATTCAGTGCTTTAAAATGAACCGTTGAGTCACTAAATACATGGAGAAAATTTAAGTCATTAGTTAAAGAAGCCAATCTGAAATGGCCAAATAGCATATGATTCCAAATACATGATATTACGGAAAAGGAAAAGCTATGCAGATAGTGAAAAGCTCATTGGTTGTAAGGGGTTTATGTCTTCCTGACATTACCACTTCTCAAATTTTATTTTTTAAGATAAAAGAAATGTTACTTTCAAGGTTGTAGTATTCTGCCTTCAGAAAAAAATTAATTGCACTTACTCTCCTAAAACTATTTCTTTATTTTATTATTATTTTTGTTGTTGAAGTGCAGTTGTTTCCATTTTCTCCCCACCACTCTCCCCTGTCCCACCCACTTTTACCTCCCACATTCAGTCCTCCCCCCAGTTGGCTTTGTCCATGGGTCCTTTAAGCATGTTCCTTGGTTTGCCCCTTCTCCTTCTTTTCCTTGTTATCCCCCTCCCCACTTCCCTCTGTTAGTTTGTTCTTTATTTCCAAGTCTCTGGTTCTATTTTACTCATTTGTTTGTTTTGTTGATTAGTTTCCACTTATATAAGAGATCATATGGTATTTGTCTTTCACCACCTGGCTTTTTTTCATTTAGCATAATGCTCTCCATTTCCATCCATGCTGTTGCAAAGGTTAGGAGCTCATTTTTTCTTTCTGCAGTGTAGTATTCCATTGTGTAAATGTACCATAGCTTTTTGATCCACTCATTTATTGATGGGCACTTAGGCTGTTTCCAGCCCTTGGCTGTTGTAAATTGTGCTGCTATGAACATTGGGGTGCATAGGTTCCTGTGAATCAGTGTTTCAGGGTTCTTAGGGTATAGTCCCAATAATAGAATTACTAGGTCAAAAGGCAGTTCCATTTTTAATTCTTGGAGGAAATTCCTTACTATTTTCCACAGTGGCTGCACTAGTCTGCATCCCTACCAATGTACACTAGGGTTCCCTTTCCTCCACATCCTTGTCAGCACTTATTATTTGTTGATTCATTAATGATAGCTGTTTTGGTAGGTGTGAGGTGGTATCTCATTGTGGTTTTAATTTGTGTCTTTTTGATGGCTAGTGATGCTGAGCATCTTTTCACATGTCTATGGCCCTCTGAATGTCCTTCTTGGAGAAGTGTCTGTTCAAGTGCTTTTCCCATTTTTAATTGGATTGTTTATCTTCCTGGAGTGGAGTCATGTGAGTTGTTTTTAAATTTTGGAGATCAAATCCTTGTCTGAAGTATCATTGGCAAATATGTTTTCCCTTACAGTTGGTTCTTTTTAATTTTAATGCTGTTTTTTTTTTAGCCATGTGGAAGCTTTTTAATTTGATGAAGTCCCATATGTTTATTCTTTCCTTTGTGCCTTTTGCTCTAGAGGACATATTGATGAAAATATTGCTGCGTGGAATATCTGAGATTTTCCTGCTTATGTTTTCTTCTAGGACCTTTATGGTGTTGTGACTTATATTTAAATCTTTTATCCATCTTGAGTTTATTTTGGTGAATGGTGTAAGTTGGTGGTCGAGTTTCATTATTTTGCATGTACTTGTCTAGTCCCAACACTATTTGTTCAAAAGTCTATTTTTAGTCCATTTTATGCTCCTGCCCCCTTTGTTGAATATTAATTGTCCATAGAGACAGAAAGAAATCCAAGAAGAGGGAAGACTCCTAAAACTATTTCTGAAGTCAAAACTGATTTTCAATTCAATCCTTAAGAATTTGTGTATTTTTTCCTAGAGTTCACTGGGAAAAAATACAGTTACTGAAACAATGTGTATTCTTCTAAAAATTTAAAGTTATTTTAATTTAAATCAGTAATATAATACAAAGATAAAATAGCATTACTTTCATCTGTTACATGCCAATGCCATTTAGATTTAAAATACCACTTTTCCAAATTTACCATTTTTTTTGTTTTTCACATTTCTAAAAAAAATATCGAGCTTTGGAATACTACTTTCTTACACTTGCATTTGCATTTAGGTAGTATGCCCACAAAATACTTATGTAAAAATCAAAGGGGTGAAGAAATAACTTAGGCAATATTTTTTTTTGTGTTTAGTATCCAGACAGGATAACTTCAGAGGCATTTTCAGTTGTTATGGCACAGTTGCTTGCAATTAGTCTGGGAATCACATATGATGACATCTATACTTGTTACTGTCCAGGAGCTACATGCATTATGAATCCTCAAGCAATGTAAGGTGTTGTTTTGATCAACTCTGTATCTTTTGGGGGGAAATGTTTGTAGTAGTCCTTAATGTACAATCACTTGCAATATAATTTGGGTAAGATGATTTTTTAAATTAAATATATATGCTAATTTAAATTAAATAAAATAAATATTGGATATTATAGAAAATGTGCCTAATATTTCTATATTCAATATTACAGTCTTCAGAGAAGGTGTTTGTTGATAATGAATTTCTGGGGCTTACTAAAGTCTTGAGGTGAAATTTGTTTATTCACTATAAATATATGTCACAAACACTGACTGTGTTGCAGGATAGTGTGTGTTTGTCCTATCAATAGTTAACAAGATAGGTAAGTCCTAGCTATCTTATGTTAGTCCCTTAGAGATAGAAAAGTAAAAAGTGGCTATAGAATGAACAAAACATAAACATCTTATGATAGTTTTTTTAAGAAGGAGACAAATAGGGAATAGATTGGGAGAGGAAACTTTCTAAATAAGTGGTCTAAGAAATAATTATCTTGGGACCTGAAAGTGAAGGAATGAATCTGGCCATGTAAAGAACTTGTTGAGCCCTGGCCAGTGTGGCTCAGGAGACTGAGCACTGGTCCATAAACCAAAGGGTTGCTGGTTTGATTCCCAGTCAGGGCACATGCCTGGGTTGCAGGCCACATCCCCAGTTGGGGGTGTATGAGAGGCAAACACACATTGATGTCTTCTCTCTATCTCTTTCTCCCTCCCTTCCCTTTCCTCTAAAAATAAATAAAATCTCACAAAAAACTTATTGAACACTTTTCAGGGTAAGCAAGGGAATGATGCGTGAATAGCAAGAAGCTTGAGGAGTTCAAATGACAGGAATAAGGAGACTGCAGGGGGAGAGGGATAAAAATGAAAAGCAAAAGAAATAGCTGTGACCATAAAGAAATATATAAAAGGCACAAGGGAAATAAAGTAGAGTACAATAAGGCAACAGAACAATGAGTGAGGGAAAATAGTCCAGGATGTCAGTATTTCCAACGCATGGTATGTGGGAAAGAGCCTGATCACATAATCATGACATGAAAGCTGAAAATTGATGATCATGTAACAAACTACATTTTAAATTGATTTATGCAGAATGGAGAATAAAAGTGATCTTTAAATGGATGAGCAATATATCAGAGGGAACAACAATATAGGAATATTTGGGAGATGAGTTTCATTATAATTACAGCAGTTTATTAAGATCTAGAGAAATGGAAATGGCTGGGATTATTCGTAGATTTTTGAACATCATGACACTTAACAGATATTGAAAAAGGCAAATATTTTCTTCTTGAAAAAGGAGAAGTTGGGAAATTTTGAGGCAGTTAATATATGTTATACTGGGAGCTCTAAGTCATTCATTAGCATTAAGTGCACAGTTACATAGGTCAGGACCTAAGAGGATAAGGGATCTAAAGTGTGAGAGCCACCAGCATATTGATGGGAATTAAAACAATGAACTGATGATTTAGAAAGAAGTGAAAAGAGTGAAAAGAGGTGCCTTAAGATGTATCTTTGCATACTTGTATAGAAAGGGAGAAAATATTAAAACAAGAACCAAGATAAGATGTATCCTTACCTAGGGAGAACTATGTTTCAAGAATAAGGGAGAGGCCCTGGTGGGGTGACTTGGTTGGTTGAACATTGTCCTGTACACCAAAAGGTTGCAAGTTCCATTCTGGATCAGGGCACATACCCAGGTTTTGGGTGTGACACAGGTTTTGAGTGCAGTCCTGGGTTGGGGCACGTACTGGAGGCAACTGGTCCATGTTTCTCTTTCACATAGACATTCTCTCTCTCTCTCTCTCTCTCTCTCTCTCCCCCCCACAGTTCCTCTCTCTCTAATGTCAATAAACATATCCTCAGGTATGGATTACAAAAAAAGGATAAGGGAAATGATGGAAGTAAAATGGTAAAAGTATCAGCATGGTATTTTAGCCTCCCCCAACTCTGTGATGAAATAAAGAGTAAAAGTAGGAAAACAAACAAAGAAAGTGAAAGCATACTCTCCATTTCCAAAACTGCAATGCACCAAAGATAGCAGCAGGTGGAGGCAATCTACTGACAAAATAACATCTGCATGAGGTAAATAACTGTGTAGGAGGAAATAACATTAACACAATAAGACCTTGAAAACCTGACCGATCTGGGAGCTCAGAAATCATTGAGCAATCTACATGCCAAAAAGTTGTCCCACCTGAGGCTGAAATATCAATAAACTCATGCTATTACAGGAGCCCAAATTTGTGGGGATATGCAAATTGCAGGTGATAGCAAAGGGACTGAACATTTCTTAAGATGCTGGTGTGACCTTTGTCTCTGTGCTTTATAAATCTAATAACTAACAGCTGTCAGAGGAATGAACCCATTCCTTCCATTTATGACTTGTGTTAAAAATAAAAGCACTCTCTCCTCCTTCTTGGATTCCCTGTAATTGAAGCTGTACAGAATGAACAGTGTTATACACAACAGTGTTAATTTGATAGTGACCTTATTCCACTTATCTGAAGAATATAATTTAATTTTAGACACTCCCATGGTGTAAAGTCGTTTAGCAGTTGCAGTGTGGATGCATTTAAACATAAAGTTTCACAACCAGAATTAAAATGTCTTCGGAATCAAACTGTTTCAAAACTGGTTATCCAAGGAAGGCAAGCAACATGTGGCAATGGAGTAATAGAAACTGGAGAGCAATGTGATTGTGGCTTTCCTGAGGTGAGTGACAAACTTTGATAGTTTACCTAAAGATTTGTTTTATTGCTTCTCATATTGTACTATAAATATAGATGTGATACCAAAGGGGGAGCTTTTTCTCAAATGCTGTACCATTTTATCAAATATCTAAGATACAGAGATAAGGGACATGGGAGAACTGACTCACCCTGAATTTGAAGCATTTGAATGATTTAAGTATGGAGTAAGCATAGCATGGATTCAATATGATTTTCTCCATTGTGTAACCATTAATAGTAATACTCATCTTTTTGTATCACAAATATCTGTACCATTAATAATATAATCATCACCTAAGTTGTCTCCTGAATTCTTCCCAAGGGACTACATTAGTTCCCTAACTTATAAAATGTGTTGCTTACCTCCTCATTTTTTGACTTCAGTCCTTGCATTTGGGGAACTTCACTTACTTTAACTTGGTTTCACAGAATTGAGTTAATCATAATTCATGGTTTGTTGTTATATTTAATTTTTGCTATTATCTTTTTTTCAGTTGTGCTTGGCAAGATAACTAATCACTGAATTTTGTTGTGCCTGCTTTCCTATACTTATGCATGGTGGTTTTTTGAATGACAGGTATTTTCTAGAAAATACAAAAGGCCTCTAATTATTAGGAATAAAATTCTGTGTAACTTGATTGCATTATAATTGTGACTGAATGACTCAAATCTTCTGTATTTTTATTAATTTTGATTGACCTCTCAGTACTTGAGAAATAATTTCTTAAAATTTTATTTAAATACTTTCGATTTTTATTGTTGTTCGAGTATAGTTTTCTGCCTTTTCCATCCACCACTCCCCACCACCCCAGCCTTCACCACCTCCCTTCCCTATTTCCATTCTCCCCTGGCTATTGTTCATGTGTTCTTTATAGTTGTTCCTGTAAAGCCTTTACCCTTTTCTCCTATTATCCTCTCCCCTCTCCCTCCTGGTTACTGCCAGCTTGTTCCCAATTTCAATGTCTTTAGTTATATTTTACTTGCTTGTTGATTTTGTTGATTAGGTTCCAGTTAAACATGAGTTCATATGGTGTTTGTCTTTCACCACCTGGCTTGTTATACTTAGCACAATGTTCTCCAGTTCCATCCATAGCATCGCAGAGGATAGGAGCTCTTTCTTTCTTTCTTTCTGCTGCATAGTATTTTATTCTGAAAATATACCATAGTGTTTTGATCCATCCATTTACTGATGGGCACCTAGGTTGTTTCCAGCATTTGGATATTGTAAATTGTGCTGCTATGAACATTGGGGTGCATAGGTTCTCTTGGACTGATGTTTTAGGGTTCTTAGGATATAATCCTAGCAATGGAATTGCTGGGTTAAAAGGCAGTTCCACTTTTAGTTTTCTGAGAAAATTCAATACTGTTTTCCATAGTGGTTGCACCAGTCTGCAATTCCACCAGCAGTGCACTAAGATTCCCTTTTCTTCACAACCTCTCCAGTACTTGTTGTTTGTTGCTTTGTTGATGGTGGCCATTCTCACTGGTGTGAAGTGGTATCTCATTGTGGTTTTAATTTGCATCTCTCTGATAGCTAGTGATACTGAGCATCTTTTCATATGTCTCTGGACCCTCTATTTGTCCTCTGTGGAGAAGGGTCTGTTCAAGTCCTCTGTCCATTTTTAAAAAATTTTTTAAATGTATTTTATTGATTATGCTATCACAGCTGTCTCATTTCCCCCATCATTCCCCTCCACCCTGCACATGCCCTTCCACCCACATTCCCCACTTTAGTTTATGTCCATGTGTCATAAGTTCTTTAGCTTCTACATTTCCTATACTATTCTTGCCCCCCCCCATCTATTTTCTACCTACAGTCTATGCTACTTATTCTCTGTACCTTTTCCCCCTCTCTCCTCTTCCCACTCCCCTGTTGCTAACTCTCCATGTGATCTCCATTTTTGTGGTTCTGTTCCTGTTCTGGTTGCTTAGTTTGCTTTTGTTTTAGGTGTGGTTGTTAAAACTGTGAGTTTGCTGTCTTTTTACTGTTCATATTTTTTATCTTCTTTTTCTTAGATAAGTGCCCTTAACATTTCATAAAATAAGGGCTTGGTGATGATGAACTCCTTTAACTTGACCTTATCTGAGAAGCACTTTTTCTGCCCTTCCATGCTAAATGAAAACTTTGCTGGATAGAGCAATCTTGGATATAGTTCCTTGCCTTTCATGACTTGAAATACTTCTTTCCAGCCCCTTCTTGCCTGTTAGGTCTCTTTTGAGAAATTAGCTGACAGTCTGATGGGTACTCCTTTGTAGGTAACTGTCCCCTTATCTCTTGCTGCTTCTGGAATTCTCTCCTTCATTTTAATCTTGGGTAATGTAATTATGATGTGCCTTGGTGTGTTCCTTCTTGGGTCCAACTTCTTTGGGACTCTCTGAGCTTCCTGGATTTCCTGGAAGTCTATTTCCTTTGCCAGAATGGGGAAGTTCTCCTTTATTATTTGTTCAAATAACTTTTCCACTGCTTACTCTTCCTCTTCTGGTACCCCTATAATTTGAATGTTGGAACGTTTAAAGATGTCCTGGAGGTTCTTAAGCCTCTCCTCATTTTTTGAATTCTTGTTTCTTCATTTATTTCTGTTTGATTATTTGTTTCTTCCTTCTGGTCTACTCCATTGATTTGAGTCCCAGTTTTTCCCCCATCACTATTGGTTCCCTGTGTATTTTCCTTCATTTAGCTTAGTGTAGCCTTCATTTTTTCATCTAATTTGTGACCAAAATCAACCACTTCTGTGAGTATCCTGATCACCAGTGCTTTAAACTGTGCATCTGATAGGTTGGCTATCTCTTGGTCGCTTAGATGTATTGGCTCTGGGCTTTGATTTGTTTTTCCATTTGAGCCATTTTTTGGGGGGGGTGGTTCTGGTTGCGCCTGTTATGTATGAGGGGTGGAACCTTAGGTGTTCACCAGGTTGGGGCAACCCAGTTACTGGGCTGTGACGCTGTATGTGGGGGCCGGGTCAGAGAGGGAACAATGGCGCTTGCTCCGCTCTCATATTTCAATCCCTTCCACCACTTCCCACAAGCAAATTGGGCCCTTATGATGCTGGCTCCCGGGTGGGTGGGCTTGTGTACATTCTAGGACTCTGTGGGTCTCTCCAACAAACTCTCCTGTGAAGCTGGGAGTCTCTCCTGGCACCTAAACACCCACAAGTGTTTTCAATTGGTTGAAAACACTTTTAGGCTTTTTCCCCTGGCGCTGGGTCCCTGGGTTGTGTGGTCTGTCTTGCTCTCTGTTTTTGCCTGGTTTATCTGAATTCAAATGTGTGTCTGTGGTCAGCCAGTGGCCTTGCATGCCTCACTGTGTCTGCTCGTTGCCACCACATGCCCGGGACCACCAGCTGCTGCTTTTTTCTGCCTCAGCCCCTCTCCGCCGGCCACTGATTCTGCCCTTATTACTGGTCTGGATGAATGATTGTTGGACTTCTGTACAGTTCAATTTTCTGTCAGATCTGGTTGTTCTTTTGTTTCTAAATTTTTGTTGTCCTTAATTTTGGTTGTGCGAGGAGGCACAGTGTGTCTACCTATGCCTCCATTTTGGCCAGAAGTCCCTTTGCCCATTTTTTAATTGGGTTGCTTGTCTTCTTAGAGTGGAGTAGTTTGTGTTTGTATATTTTGGAGATCAAACCCTTGTCTGAGGTAGCATTGGCAAATATGTTTTCCCATACCATTGGTTTTCTTTTAGTTTTAATGCTGTTTTCTTTAGCTGTGCAGAAGCTTTTTCTTTTGATGAGATCCCATTTATTTATTCTTTCCTTTATGTCCCTTGCTCTAGGGGATATATCAGTGAAAATGTTGCTGGATGGAGTATCTGAGATTTTCCTGCCTATGTTCTCATGAAGAACTTTTATGGTGTTATGACTCATGAGAAATAATATTGATGCCTCTAACAATTTAGTTGGATTTGCCTAAGTCTCATCATAACTTACTCAATTCATTCTTTATATTTTGAAGCTGTTTTATATGGTGCCACCTTATTTACAATTGTTATACCTTTCTAAAAATTTAACTTTTTACTTCCAAGTAGTGAATATTTTAATCTCTAATGTTGCTTTCTCTTTTATAGTCTATTTGGTCTGATGTATCTACCTCTGTCTTCATCTCCATCTTCCTCAATCTCTATTTTTGTCTCCATCTTTATCTCTATCGCTATCTCCATCTCCACCTCAATCTCTATCTCCAACTCCATTTCTATCTCTATTTCCATCTCAATCTCTATCTCCATCTCTATCATCTCCATCTCCATCTCCACCTCTATCTCTATCTCTACCTCTGTTCATACTCTAGCTTTCTTTCATTTAGCATTTCCCTGATATAACTCTATTTTCACTTAATTTTTCTATACTTTAAGTTCAATATCTGCATTGTTTTAATTTAATTTATTATAATATGTATTCAATTTATAATCCATTATCTTAGACATTATTGTGATTGATATATTTGCATACGTTAAAATAAACTAAAGTCCCTAGTTTATTCAGATTTTGTCTGTTTTTACCTAATGGCTGCTTTCCAAGATTATTATAGATTTAATAGATTTAATAGATTTATTATAGATTATAGATTTATAGATCTTTTCCAAGATTTATTATATTTAGTTGTTATGACTCCTTATGCTGCTGTAGAATGAACTTTTTATATGTTTAGTTATCTCAAAAATTTTATATTTTCTATGTTAATTTTGTCACACTTGTTTTCTAATTGAATTTCAGCTCCTTTCTTTTTATCTGTTTTGTTTTTCTTTTTTTCCCACTATTTCTCTCAGTGATTTAGTAGATATGTATATTTTTCCCTTTGCTGATAATTTTTTATTTTTCCATGCCTATTTAACATTTGATACATCTGAGCTACCTTCTCCAAAATAACAGTCCGGAACTCAATTCGCTTACATACAATTTTTGTTAATAATTTATTTCTGTCATCTTTACATTTTACAGTAAAAAGTGGGTGAAGACTTTATGCAAGAAATAGGTGCTTTATTTT